ATATATAATCAGTGCTTTACATATTCAGTTATACACAACCAGTCATTCAGTCATTCTTCTGCTGGTGTTGCTCCTGTGCAGACATACTCATCTTACACAGACACATCACTGTATTTTTAACACAGGCTGGCATGTTTGCTGCAAACACTACATACATTTTGAGAAGAGAAAATTAACTGCTTTACACTTAGAAAATACTTCACACAGAGAGAATAAAATCTTCTTCAGCGTTCGTTTCATACAGATTACAAAACCAGAAAACTTTTGTTTTCAAGTGTAGTGTACATTTAAAAGCACAGATTTCAAGCTTTATTTGGACATATTTCTTATGCCTTTGAAACAAGTATTCACTGAGATTCCAGTGCATTTGTTGACCAGCAAACTGTCGTAAAAGTACACGTCTGGTCTTAGCTTCTCCCCTGGAGAAACATCAGTCTACAATGATTAATTATTAGCTTTTGTACTTCTAGGCAGGTCTTCATTCACCATATTGACCGTTACACTTTCTCCATTCAAAACTATTTGAGTGACATGTCTTGTGTGTTCTAGTCTTTGGTTACAGTTTTCATTTCAGCTTGACAGATTTAAAGCACAGTTAAATATGAACTATGACTGAAACCTTAAGCTATAATTACCACAATGCATGTTTGTTTTGAGAATAGCAATTAAAAAGTCAAAATTAGCAGTGTATTTGAATTTTTATTTATTTATTGACATTGACATGTTAATTAAAAGTGACTGTAAAAACATCTACAGTGCAATGTTATTATATATGTCATCACATAAATGCTTTTCCTACAAAACACAATTTTGAAAGTTCATATTTCTAAACATCATGCAGCACATCTGTTTTCAACACTGACTTTAACAAGAAATATGACATAAAAAGTGAAGTGTCTAAAGAAAGGGGAAGTGAAAATGAAAATTCATATAAATGACATTTGAATACACTAAGAGCGTTTGGGCAGTCTCATTTTAGAGATGATGTGACCATCCATCTGCATGTGAGATTATTTGAATAGATTAACCATGATAAGCTGTAATATGTGTGCATCAAATTTGATCTAGTACTATCTCTAGACAGCATGTAAGATATCAAGGCAAGTGACAGTGTTAATTCCTGCACAGATGGTGATTTTCATTTAATGCACACTCAGTGAAGAAGGCATTTAGGAAATGAGAGGAGAGATTGAAAATGTCATGCTCATATTTAAGAGTAAGCACACCTGAGGGGCTTTTGCCCACTCTAGCACAGACGGATAGAAGTGACCAAAGGTTGGCTAAGGCAAAGATGCTGATGGAAAGGGGAATGTTTTTGACGTATATTCCTCAGATTACAAATTAATACAATACAATACAATATAACATAATATAACACCTATTTTTCAACCTTTTTTTTAATTTACTTTCTCTGAAATAATCTTCCATAATCTAAAAAAAGAGATTTTAAATTGCTTTTATTATTTTATATGTAGTTTACACAGTGCATGTTTAAAGTACAATTTATTATTATGAAAATTAAAAATGTTTGTTGAGGACACCTGAGAAAATGTGCAAAATTGTTTTAAAGCATATAAAAAACTCAAAACCTTCCTGACATTCTGGACATAGAATTAAAAAAAAGTTTTGATATAAAATTAAAAACCATTTTAGAAATTGTTTGTAATTATTACATTATATAATTGCATATTAAAATATTATTTAATTTAATACATTGTAGATTGTGTCAAAGCAGCTTAATATAGAAAAAAAGCTCTAATAAATTGCAATTCTATTGTGTATTTTGTCTTTTATACTCTAAAATATTGAGAAATTAGAAATATTCTCTTTACATCTGAAATATTTTCATTATTTTATATTTAGCATTTCCTTCACTGTCAATACTATATGCTTTGCTATAATAAGAAGTTAATCATTAATCGTTTGTTGTTTTTGTGAAGAATGAACCCTTCCTTCTCTTTGTCTCCAGGAAATGCTTTCCTTATGGAGGGTTGTCAGACCAGGCTTTCACTCATATTGAAATGAGGATTTCAGTTCCTAATTATTGTTGTATTGTTATTGTATTATATAATTATTGTATTATATAAATTGCATATTAAAATAGTATTTTATTTAATGTATATTATTACCCAAACAATTTCATCTTTATTTCTATACCGCTTTTACAATGTAGATTGTGTCAAACCAGCTCAACACAGAAACAGAATAAGTTCTATAAACTGCAATTCTATTGCTTATTTAGTCTTTTATACTCTAAAATATTGAGAAATTAGAAATATTTTCTTTGCAACTGAAATATTTTTATCCTTTTATATATATTTTTTATTATTTTTTATTATAGATTTTTTTACAAATTACATTTTGGTTAAAAATCAGTTTTAGGCATCCCACTCTTTCATGGACACCAAATTCAAGGACTTTTTAGGAATTTTTAAATCACTAATATTGTAAACCCAGCACCTTCGTAATTCACAACCCCAGCATGTAGCGCCATGAAAGTCGTTCCTGTACTTTTCACTTTACACTTAATATTTACATTAAAATAATGATTAATATTATGTTTGTTTATTAACATAATTATTAGATTTTGAATGTCATTTTTTAAAAATGTTGACTGTTTTAAACAACAGTCAGTTGTCAGTTTAAGTCATTTTTTTAAACAACAGTTTAAGTCATGTTTAAAGAATGTTAATACAATTAGTTGAACTCAATACAGGCAATATTTAAATGTGGTTTCTGAAGTATTGATTAAATAATTTTTTTTTCATTGTTCATGTATAAATTTGAAATTTTTTTATTAAAAACTTCTTAGTTTTTTTGTTCAGGCTTGAAAGCAGAACAGTACAATTGGCAAAATAACATCATAAACTTTAAACTCAAGCACTTTCAAGGACCAATGTTTGTTTTTAAGTATTTTCCAGGCCTTGAATTCATATGTCTGAAAATCAAGCACTTTCAAGAAGCGTTGGAACCCTGCAGTTTCATGCTTTCATTTAGCAATTTTTCTTCAGCTTAGTCCCTTTATTTATCATGTGTCACCACAGCGGAATGAACTGCCAACTTATTAAGCATATGTTATACACAGTGGATGCCCTTCCAGCTGGAAACATCTACTCTCACATACATCACGGCCAATTCAGCGTATTCAATTTATCTATAGCGCATGTCTTTGGACTGTGGGGAAAATGGGAGCACTCAGAGAAAACCCAAATGAACACAGGAGAACATGCAAACTTCACACAGAAATGCCAAATGACCTACAGTAGCTGGGACTTGAACCAGTGACCCTCTTGCTGTGAGGCGATAGTGCTAACCACTGAGCCATCATGCCGAGTCAGTAACTTTCATTACTATAAACAAAATCTATTTTTCCTGAGAACAGTTTCAGGTTGAGATCTAATGCATTACCTTCACTGTCAACACTATATGCTATGCTATAATAAGAAGTTAATCATACTTGACTCTTTGTATTTTTGTCAGTTTGTTGTTTTTGTGAAGAATGAACCCTTCCTTCTTCTCTTTGTCTCCAGAAAATGCTTTCCTAATGGAAGGTTGTCAGGCCAGGCTTTTACTCTGAAATGAGGATTTCCGTTCCTTTGCTCCAACTTTCCACTTCATCTTGCAGAAGTGACGAGTGCTGTTCAGCTAGACTTTAATAGCCGAAAAGAAAATGAATGAATTAATGAATATCTCCCTAGATGCTAATGGTCTAATCTAATTTAATGATTTATGCTAAGCTAAACTTAAAGTGCTTCCATCAGGCCTGTATCAGCTGCATGGATTCAAAAACGGTAAAACTCAACTCTTTAACTCTTGTAAAATGAGCCAAAATTTCCAAACATCTGAGTTTTTCTTTAACCTCCTAGGGCTTAGTACCGGTGAACAGCACATTTTAGCTCTTATGTCTTATGTTTTATATTTTGTTATAGACACACAGTGTCATTCTGCAACTGTTTTGCAGCATATGAAATGTCACACACACTATTTTAACTGTCCAAAATGTGCAAAAAACATTTGTATTTACTGATAGTCAAAACATTTTCAAAAATGTGTGTATGTGCTATTAATGCATTAAAAACAGTCAGGAAAAAACTGCTGTGTTCAAGGCAGAAATAAAGAGATTTTCATTCTATTACACAGGGGTGACTTTATTGTGTTTTATGGAAATTCAGATCACAAACATGGACATAATTTTCCTCTAAAAGTAATATTAAAAGATGTTTTATACTAATTAGGTTCCAATGAGCCCAAATAGCAAAGAGAAATAAAAAATGCATGTAAAAAAAAAAACAGCTTGGGCCTAAAAAGGTTAGGATTGTCTATAAGCTAGTGTGCTCCAAAAGCAGTGACGCAATGCACATTTAGCACATATGAGGATTCAAAACTTGCAGTTTCTCACTTCCACCATTAGCAATCAGTATTTTTTTTTTAATGACAATACCACATACTTTAGCTTCTTATCAGAACTTCTGTCCAATCAAAGGCTGTTTAGCAACTGAAGCTTCGTGCTTGCTACAAGATACCATTGATACAATTAAAACAAGGAATCAAGACTGGCAGAGCTGTCAAACAAACAAACACTATAAACCGTTTCAATATGACTATATCATTGTTCCATGAACAGTTTCTGCTTGCCGTCAAACTATTTTAGAACTGAAACAAGATGTTAACACAGCTGTCATTAAAATGTATCAATATGTGGAGCTTTCTGGGTTCTTAGAAGTTAAAATCCAAAACAGAGAATACATTAGGACTACTGTTTTTGTTTACATTCCTCAAAATGGTGTGGGAGGAGTTTCTTGATTTTACCTGCCCTATCTTCATGTTTCAGTTGAAATTCCAATGCATATTTCAAAGTATTTTAGGGGACTTTTTAAGTGGCTTACACATTGGATATATATTGTAGATAACAACAACAACAGAGTGAAAGAGTTCTGTGGCTGTATTATGAAACACTTCAACATGGCTGATGTCATCTTTCTTTCATTCTTTCTCTGCAGTTAAACCGACAGTCATTGATGTCGACATCTACGTAAATAGCATTGGACCAGTGTCATCTATAAATATGGTGAGTGGAGGCATTTCAATTAAGCGCTGCTATTTTGGTTGTTATGGATATCTTTGTTGGATTGTTTTATAGGACAATATAAAAAAATAATAATTCTGAGCCTATACATGTTTTTTACATATTATTTTAAAATATAAATATTTTTATTATTTTACATTAAACATTATGAAATAAATACTTTATTTGCATATAATGAAAAAAGTAACACTAAAACTATTACTATATTATGTGCATGTGATAAAACCCTATAATACTAAAGTTGCATTCACAGTTGTTCACACAGTCTTGTTTTAGTATTCATTTATATGATATTGACATCATTGATGATTTTTTTTTTTTATTTAAATATTTTTTTGTTTTCGGTTTTAAAATATGTTGTTAGTCTGTGGAATAACAACAGTATTGTCCTTTTACTGCTTGGCTTTTTTCCCAATTTGGGTTTCCCTCATTTTCGAAGTTTGCATCTTTTATTCTGTGATTTTCCTGTTAAACTTGAATTAAAATGAGACTTGAAACAGTCTGTATTAGAACCAATAGAAAAATACAGATTATGTAGTGTACTGAAACTTCAATTAGAATCGAAAATTTGAAACAACCTGCATGCACATTGTTACGTTCCTACAAAGGTCCTGGGGTCAAAAAATAGAAACAAACAAGTGAAGAAAGAGGGGAGAGTATTTTAAGTTAACTGTCTTCAGGCCCAGAATTACCAGACAACACATTCTTGATCAAAAAGTTGATCACCATCAGGCAATCATTTTTTACTTGCATTTAAATGATTAAAAAAAAAACTTAATAATTATAACAATAATAATAATAATATAAAGAATAGTTTTTAAAGAACATAATGCAAAAACAAAAAATATTACAACAGGATATGGAAGTCCAAAAATAACAAACAAAAAAAGATCCAGAAACTAATTTAAATGCAAACTAACTTTCTTAACAAAAGAAAAATTCCCAAAAGAAAAATACAAAGTAATTCCCTTTCTTCCTGCCTATGCACCAAATCAGAAGAAAAAGGTTTAAATTAACAAAGGACACTCTACATCTTACTTATACTGTAAAAAAACAAATCATTCACGTTATTAATAAAGGTAGTGCATGAGTCACAGGCCAATGTGTCTGGGACTGGCACAGATCAACTGAGATGTGTAGAATTTTTACCAAAGTACTGTATTTGTCAAATTTTTCAGGCAGTTGTTCTTTCTTATCTAGATTATTCTCCAGTGATATGGTCGAATGCATCAAGTTAAGACTTAGATAAGTTGCAGTTAGTCCGGAATAAAGCTGCACGACTAATTGTACACTGCAATAAAAGAGTTCATATTATGAAAATGCATGAAACTTTAGGTTTGTAATTGGTAAAGGATGGGGAAATTGTTTCTCTGCTATGTTTCATAAGAAATATTTCTGTGTCAAGAGTTCCAAGTGTATTGTACTGTCAACTTTTGTGTAGTAATGCTAGTCATCATTTTAACACCAGGCATGCATTAAAAGGACATTTTTTGCTTCCCATTTCAAAAACTAATGCAAAGCAGCAGACTGTAATGTATAGAGGAATGAAAACATGGAATGAATTGCGATCAGACATTACATGCTTTGTAACATCCTTAAGTAAAATGAGGTTTAAAAAATCGTTTAAGAAATATTTAATGGAACAATATTATGTAGATCGTTGATCTGGATGCTATGTATGAATTTTGTATTTTAACATTTTTATTGGTCTTTGTTGTTATGTATTCAAGTAATTTCTGTTATGTTCAATGGACCCCAGGAAGAATAGCCACTACCTTGTTTTCAGTTGAAATTTTGCTCCTTAAATGTCTTTTCTCCATTTTTTAGCTATTCTTTCTTTCTCTTTTTCTCTTTTTTTCTTTCTTTCTTTCTTTCTTTCTTTCTTTCTTTCTTTCTTTCTTTCTTTCTTTCTTTCTTTCTTTCTTTCTTTCTTTCTTTTTCTTTCTCTTTCTTTCTTTCTTTCTTTCTTTCTTTCTTTCTTTCTTTCTTTCTTTCTTTCTTTCTCTTTCTTTCTTTCTTTCTTTCTTTCTTTCTTTCTTTCTTTCTTTACGTTTTAGTATAATGATTATTATATGGATTCATTCATTTATTTTATGAAATTATTATTCTTTTAAAATGATAAACATTTATTCTAAGTGACTTGACTTTTGAAGAATATCCACTTTCCATGAAACAGCATACGTAATAAGCATTAATTTTATTCAGAATTATTCCTGTAATGTCTTTTTTTTTTTTTTTTTTTTTTGGTCCATTTCTCAACCACTCTCACTTTCCCTCTGTCACACCTTTAACAGTCCCATAGGTGACACATTGCTGTAGGTTTGAGTTGAAAGCAGGGCCACTAGTGAACCACTGCTACAGCTTTATCTCCCCCGAGGCACAGAAAAGCTTCAGGGGAAAGAACGAAAAAAAGTAGGAAAAGTAAGAGAATATAAAGACTTGAACTTAAACTGTGACACATTGTAGAAAGCAGCTGAGGAAAGGAATCTCTCTCTTTTTTAGCTTCTGATATAATAGTTCTTCATAAAAATTCATTGACTCTTATAAAAAATTAAATAAAGCAGCTTCTTATTCTTTCTCTCCGATGGATATCATATATAAATGCGAACAACGGGTGACAGATCTCTTCAAATTGATGTTAAATTCCTCTGAAGCTCAATACTGTCTTTGGCTCCCCGATACATGAGATTCATCCTTGAAAATTCGAGTGTGTTTTCACTTCCAATTATTACAGTCCGGAGCTCAAAGAGCGAGAGGGAGCGGCTGGATAATGAGAAGCGCCCAAAACAACCACCTGAAGAAGCAGCAGCAGCAATCGATCGCTCTGTCACTTAACAGCATTTTAAGGGCTGTTTTAAAGTCTTAAGGGAGATATTTCTTAGAATTCAGTGCAGACACAAATATTAAAGGGTGTTAAAAGATTTCAAGGTCCAAATATCAAGTTCAAGGCAAGACGCTGCCAGTGAATATCGAATAATACAATGGAATAATTAATAAGTTTTCCAGTTTTCTAAAGTTTTCTAAATTATTTTGTTAAAATCTGAATGAAATCCAAATGTATCTTTGGTGTTATATGTATGTACTTTTGCTCTTAGCGGATAATTAACTGTATGAACCGTATTTGGCATGCTGTCCCGGGGAAGGGCTCTGAGCTCGGAAAGATTCTTGAGCCTGGGGCTCTTCCCTTAAAGGAGAGAGAGGGGTCAGAGCTCAGGCCTGGTTGTGCAAAACCCCCCTATTCTCTTCAGCTGAAGGCAGAAGGGAAAGTGGATTCAGGGTGGTGAAGGGATGCTGAGAAATAAAGAGATGTCTGAGCTATGGTGATTTCAACATGGGCTCATTCTAAAATCGCAGCCCTATACATTTCTGGAGATAGCAAATTATGTAGCCAGAAGGACATATGGCTGCATTTCGTTTTTAAAATGAATGTTACGGGGCGGTATGACTTTTTTTTTTTTTGTGCTTACCATCTGAGCGCTTACGTCTGTATGGACAGCTTTCCTGCTGTTACCAGTTTGTCCAGTTATCTTGCCATGTATGTTGGTGGATTTGAGGTGCAGAGACAACTTGACCACTATGACGGGGGTCAAGTCCAGCAAAGAACGGTTACAGAAAGCAGGTATGAAAAAACAGAATCCAAAAAATAAAGTAAACATCTAAATAACATGGTGACAATGTGGTAAAATCTGAAATCGTGGTAAAAAAATAAGCGAGGGATTTTCTTTTTCAGTATTGCGGTTGGGTTTAGGGAAGTGTGTGGGTTGGACAGTCGGTGCGTTTGAAAACACTATTGGTTGGGTTTAGAGAAGGAGGAGAGTGGGTCAGTCGGTCAGTCAGTCAGTCAGTCAGTCAGTCAAACAGTCAGGCAACAGCTGCCTCTGGTGGATTTACACGAGAAGAGCAGGCACTAACGGCACTCGCGAGAGAAATTTGAGATCTGAAAAGCGTACACAGTGGCCTCTTGTGGATTCACGAAAACAAAAAACTGCAAAAAAAAACATTGCTCTGGGGACGTATTTAGCACTCTCCAGAAATGTAAATAGAGGTAGGTTTTCAGAATGAACCTGTGTTGGAGGATTTGGTTATTTATAAGGATTGTTCTTACTGATTGGATAGGCTAGATTTTATTTTCGCCGTGATAGCAGTACATATTTTACTAGATATTTTTCAAGATAGTGGTATTCAGCTTAAAGTGTAATTTAAAGGCTTAGCTAGGTTAATTAGGTTAACTAGTTAGGGTAATTAGGCAAATCATTGTATAACAGTGATTTGTTCTGTAGAAACTCAAAAAACTATTGTTTAAAAGGGCTCATAATATTGACAATAAAATGTTTGTTTTTTTAAAAAAAAAAAACTTCTATTACAATTTTTATTCTAGCCAAAATAAATCAAATAGTACTTTCTCCAGAAGAAAAAAAAACAAAAAACATTATGAATTACTGTGAAAAGTTTCTTGGTCTGTTAAATATAATTTGGGAAATATTTGAAAAAGAAAAGAAAAATCAGAAGAGGGCTAATCATTTTGACTTTAGCTGCATGACTTAAGTAATGATATGGCAAAAATGACATTCTTAACTTCCATGTCAAGGTGACTTTGAAATATGCAAATGTCTTTGTTTTCTTGGTTCTGTGCATCTTGTCAGGCTTAAAACAGCTACTAGGGTACGGCATTTTATAGGTAAAAATGTGGAGAAATGCTGTGTAAAAAAGTTTCTCCGATCTTATTCATATGTAATAAGAATGTTAACCTGGGATTTAGGAAGGTACAGTGTAACGTCGTCTACAGTCTCATTAACCTTAGGCATAGTATAAGCAGTGTGAATGTGATTATACATAAAGCAGGATTCTGTTTATCTGGGGTTTAGGATCCACCAAGAATAACAATTTCAAGCTCTTTTAAAAAGTAGAAAATATAATTATTAGAAGTCCCGTTTTTACAACGAATGAAGCCCATTTTAATAATTATTTTTCTGTTTAATTGG